AGGCCAACCGAGTGGTCACGACTCTTTGATTTGCTGACTCTCACGACCCTTCTTTGGTTCATTTGAAAGATATCAAATCTTATTGGCCTACGCATGACTTCATTGACTAAGTCCTGCACCGCGGTGCACGGACCTAGAACATTCCCATGGGATCCCCTGAACACCGTCCAACAGCCTCGAGAAGTCCGTGAAGGGAACACGAGCCAGGCAGCTGTTTTTGGGGAGTGTGGCGTACACGGAGCCCATGTCATCCTGACATCCATCAAACGATCAAAGAGGAAACCGGAAGCTTGTTCGATTGCCTTGATTTGGCAAGTTACCTCAGTATCAAAGTGCTTGCACATAGTAAATAGTATGACTGATGCAAATAGCCAAAAGAAGTCACCGTTGCTACTATCTGGTTGAACATAGTTGAAGTATGGTGTGTTCCATCTCCAGATATCTCGAGCACACTTGCAAGTTGAATCACAGCTTGGAATCATTGGTTCGGTTGTAACCAAAAAAAACACTTGTATACCTTAAGTTCCTACAGTCGCAGCCTAAAGTATTGGTTCGGTTGAATACCTTGAATGCGTAGCTTGATTATGCAATGCATTTCGTTTCTGTGCTCCGCTCAAAAAGTAAAAACGCCCACCAGAACAAACGACTGCAGCCAAACGACCAAAAATCCCCTCAAAGAAGTGGCAGTTATACAGGACAACCTGACTAATTAGCGAAATGAATAAGGGTTTAATCCTCATTCAAAAGGCATGCTATCGCTGTACGTAGAACATGCTGTGCCCCCCGCAAACACCTCCAAACGCTGCAAGCGCTCAGATGACACTTCGCCGCCACAGCCAAGGGCTTCACCCATGGCTTCCCTTAGACCGACCAAAAGAGTCAAACAAAGTGCCCGGACTTCGTCTAATCTCCTGAATTTAAATTAATAGCTTCTTGTTACTACTAGTAAGGCACTTGTTACTAGTAGCGTGGCACTTGTTACTACTAGCTTCTTGTTTCTAATAGCTTCTTGTTACTACTAGTAAGGCACTTGTTACTAGTAGCGTGACACTTGTTACTAGTAGTAACAGAATTCAATTTAAAGTTGCACCTGGGCAGGATAGATACCAAGAGGTGAGGACTGGCCGCCAATACCATGCCACTAGAATCTTAGCTTGTCAGATTGGATTGGATCCATCTTGCTAGGAACCGTCCACCGTCCGCTGGGACCTCTCCACATGTTACATTCACATTAAGTGTCGCTCCTCACCGCTGCGCCAGGTGCGCCCAGAACACGAGGTTCGACCGAGGTTCGACTGCCTTTCTGAACTCGAGATCGTTTGTGGAGGTAAGACATAGTAGAACACACTTGGAAAGGATGTCAGACGTGTCCTCTTCCCAGGCACGCCAGATCTGCTGCCCATCAATGTTGATTGACAAACATCTCAGTAACTTGCTATCTTTTTTCCACACTGGGTGACTGGGTGCAGCTCAGACCTTTGAGTGCTGCTGCATTCAAAAATGAGAACTTCTTAGAATCCCTGAATCCCAAACTTGTTTTGGGGATAGCTATCACCATGGAGCCATAGCTATCCATAGCCTATGGATCCAAAAAGAGACCGCCGCCCTTCGTCGCTCCCAGTCACTGGAGCTCAGCGTTAAAAACGGCGCTTTCCACGGTTGCTCGAAGCGCTTTCCCGCGGCTGAAACCTTGCTGGAACGCGGCACGCTGGAAAGGATGGGGATGGAACCCATCCATTGGGATCGGATATGGGATGGTCCATTTGATAGAAGTTGTCCTGAAACCCAGTATCCAAAAAGTATGATATACAGCTATTTTCGGGGGGGCTAACCCCCTGACCTTCGAGTACTTCTGGCGACCGGATTGACCGCCGATCCACCGATCTGTGATTGATCTGTCCACCCTTCTCTTTGGTGACAACAGCTTCGTGGGTTTTGTTGGAACCGCGGGCAATCTGGGCAGCCTTGTCCAACAATGGTATCACTCACAGCATGACTGTTACAGCTATCAAATGAAACCCTATGAATACAGCGGCCTTGCACGAGTAGAAACGCGCTGCCATCGAACACAAATTTGATTGGACACCATGTCAGACCATGTTATCAATGTATCATATAAATTAATTATATAATCATATTACAATATATTATATATATATTAATATATATATGGGCGGGCGCTGATCAAGGGGCCCCCCTGGGGGAGTGTTCCAAGACCTATTGAACTTCATGTTGCTAGTGCTAATGTCAGAGCCCCCCCACGTGTGGTGACTCGGGAAGAAGGTGAAGAAGAAAGTTAGGGAAGCTGTAAGTGGCATTCATCAATTGAAATTGAACAGGAAGCATATTTCGGTACATGTTTGTTTTGAAGGATAAGGCAAATTTACAAACTTGATGCAGGTATATCAAAGAGATGACGTGCAAAGATGAGATGACGTGCTATGGCTGCTGCAAATGATTAGCCACATCAGAAAACATTGTTTATAAACATTTGCTGTGATTATAAGCTGTGTCTAAAAAACTACTTCTCAAAATCAATGGTTTCCCAACTAGTCCCAACATATATGAGGCTCAAACAAAAAACAATAACAATGTTTTCCAAAACTAGTCCAAACTTTTGTAGGATGAACATAGTTTCCAAATCATGTTTTGTTTTTTTCCTGATGATTTCTGGCTGTAGGATTGGTCATAGTTTCCAGATAATTGGTTTGTTGTTTTTTTTTGGTTTCTAGCTTTAGGATATTGGGCATAGTTTCCAAATCAGTTGTGTTTTTTTTGTTTTCTGGCTTTATGTTTCCAACACATGTTTTTGCTTAATCAGCGAGCACCCACATATATAGTATCTGATTATATATGTAGTCGGTCGTGATTGTTGTTTTCGGCGTCTGGTCAACAAATGTCAAATCGGGGTCTGCCTGTCTGTCCTTTTGGTTGGCTGCTCCCCAGACCGATCTGTGCCAAGCTGCTCTCAGAACTTGCTTCAATCGAAATTGGCAAAGCCAAGCACCTGATTTCGATGACAAGACCGGCCGGTAATTTAAAGTTGGCCACAACGACAATTGTGTGGCAGGTGCGAATTTGATGGAGCTTCCAGAACATGGTCTGGGAAGGGGAAATACGAGGTAGCACCCTTCTGGGCAATACACCATACCAGGACTGGCCAGGGCTTCTGATCGAGACCCCAACCTGTGGACTGGAGCCCAAAAGATCGTCTACAGCTTGGATTTGATGGCAAAAACTTCGGAATCAACACCTCGTGCCTGAGATCCACCATAAACAGTTCTCATGTGTCCGTCTTGAATCTTCGCCTGCCATTGAACACAATGGCACTTGGTTTTTCTTGACATCTCAGGAGTCCTAGACCACTTCATCAGGCCATCCTTTGTTGGATATTCCACAGGGCGGCAATGGAAAGTCCATCGCTGCCGAACACCGCTGCCGCAACCGCCGGCCAGCACCATCGGTGCCCAGTTCGGAGGCACCCACCGGTCAGCGGTTCGGACGCACTGAGATGCCTGGTGCATCACAAACGAGTTACTAGTGGTTTTTGAGAGTAGATGGCACAAACCCAAAGATGTCTTCTACAATGAGGGTCCTTATCAACCACCTTCTGCTGATTGTGCCATCTACTCTGAAGCCCTGTACTGCTCATGGATTATGGCAATGGACCTTCTGTGGACGTTGATAGGATCTATACCCAGCTGGTATATCCTACCGTCGTTTCCCCTGCCTACGGTTGTACACGTGCGGCTGACGGTATGTTGACGGGCCTCTTGTCTCACCAGGTACGTCCAAAAGGAGGACACCGGAAGATGGAGGACTTTGGGCGAACTCAAATGCAGCCGAGGCACATGAAGATAGCGGCCTGCATGATAGGCATCCTGAGTGTGTGGAATCATATCTCTGTTGATTGGAGCATCAATGATATTGTTGATTTTTGGTTGGAACCAATTTGGGATGTCCAAATGCCCAATTGATATTGATTGGTATTGAGACATTCCAAGTGATACTGATTGCCCAATGATGTGACCAGTTTTTTGCTTCGACCGCTGGACCATGTTCTATCACACGATGGACCTGCAACACTGTAAACCCAATAGATTCAATAGATGAAGCACTTCGACTACACCACAGAAGGAAGATCGGGCTAATCAAATCAGGTTGTACGCTTCGCCCTGTAGGAATATGTAGAAGTTTGATGTGGCTCCTCTGAAAAACCGACTGGTTGGAACTCCTCTGCTGGGTGTACAAAGTCTTCTCAACCTGAAAAAATGCTCAAAAGATCTCAAAAGGAATGCTGCATCATAATACTGCTCTTGGGGATGGATATTCTAATGCTCGTTCAAGATAGATAGCCACCCCAGATCCAGCGAACCTCCAAAAACCAGCACCAAAAACCCAGCACTCCACCTTCACATCTTCCATATGGACATCCCATCCAAGGCACGAGAAATAGAGGTGGGGTACGTTCTCAGATGAGGTTTTGAATGAACGTAGAACGGCCATCTTGAGCCGACACAAGCCAAACGCGCATGACTTCATGTGTCTTCTCAACCATGGTCTATAGGGTTTGGGTGCATTAAATCGAAGCCATTTGGCTGTGCTTGGTTTACACAAAGGTCAAATCACAGTCAAGTCCTCAGTCTATGAAACCTTTGGATAAAGAGTGGAAAAGCACCTAGGGGGGTCCAGTGTTGGTGTTCCACAGCTTCCACGTTGAACTAAAGCACACAATATAAGTCTGGTCTTAGTGACTCAACGGTTGAATCACTGATCTTGGAACCCTGACCACCCCACAGATGCCTCCGCCTAACTCACAGCTCACTCCGCACTTGCGGAGCACTCCGCTCGCGGGCCGTGGTCACAGTGTTTGGACGCCCTTCTCCCATTTCGTGCTCCGGGTCAGAACATGTTCGACCCCCTTTGAACCCTCTTGAACTCCCGCAGAAAAAGGGGATCAAAGCCTTTCTGCCCCCAATGGTCTGGTCCGTCCCAGTCACCTTGGCCCGTCGGAGGTGTGCACTGGCCATCACGGCTTGGGAGGCGACCTGAGACGGTGAAGTGTTCGTGGTGAAAACAGATTCGTTTCACCTTCAGGCTTTGAAAACTACATATATAGATATAGAACATTATAGAACTACATTTACTATGTTGTTTGGGAATTTCTTGGGGAGTCAATTGGTGGAATCTGCTACTGCAGGATATCTTCCTCCGACAGTTCCGACACCAAACCCATCCAAACCTCCTTTCTCTCTCTTTGGGTTGACAAATGAGGTGGCCCCAAAACCATGACTGTTCCTAAGTACGAGTACTGTAAAGTTTTGGGATTCAAGGGGGACTTGAATCGGTTGAGTGACCACCAGCTAGGGACAGAAGTCCAACGACAGTGACCAAGTGACCATGAGCGGCGATGGCAGACCTACCTAGTTCTACTAAGTTTGAGGATCCATCCATAACCGTCCAAAGAGGTGTCGGTGATTCCGAGGACAACCGTCGGACTTGATCAGAGAGGTTCACTCACCTCGCAGGGAGTTTTGAACATCCAAGCTCCCGCAGAAGCACATCGTGATGCTGAAGATCCATAGAAAATCCCTGAGGTTCTTCAATTCCCACTTCGTCTTCCACTTCGACAGACCAGCATTTGGCATATCGAAACAATCTACTACCAGATTGGATTTGATGGAGATCACAAAGGTTGAAAACGTACGTTCTTTCTCCATCTGCTCAGCGTCACTTCTCTGCCCCTGGCTGGGCGTTTCTTGTTGCCGCGGCCATCAATGAACCTGGTCGTGCCGTTCGGGAGATCACGCCTCACCTCACGTGGAGGTGGCCCACACACCGGACGGACGCTACACCCAAAGAGTCACTGTATTTTGATGTTGAGACACCAAATGAAACACAGCTGCTAATAATTGGGGTAACCTACCTAATGTCAGTACATGGTCCCAATTCGAAGCATATTTGATGGCAACAACCAACTATGGTTGGCTCAGAGTACTCTAGATGGCACAAAATCCAAGGGATTGGTTTACAATCGGCTCGTGCTTTATAGGGTTGAGTTGAGCCACATAGAAACTGGATACTTGCTGTCGAAGGCGGCAGGTCGCCATTACTTAGTCTTCAAATGTCTTGAAAGGAAGCCTTTCACGGGAACTTGAAATACAAAGAAGCGTTCAGTGCAGATGCGCGTCGAGTCTAGTCCACAGAATCCAAACCCTGCCATTCCTGCTTCGATACCTGCGAACGGATTGTCTAACAAAGCAGGAGCATCGCTCTGCTATCCCAAAATCAGGATTAGGATGGATTAGGTCTCTGGAATAAACTGGTCCCCTCCAATCTATCGGAGCGATCTAAACTCATAAATTCTCAATGTTTGCTATCTCAAACCTCTCCAACCCGACATGCCGAAGCTACTGTTGACTCAGTAGTCTCACGCCACGCGAAGCGTCGCGCGGAGTCGGAGTCGGTCGGCATGTCCACTCTCCCCTGTCGGAGTTTGGTGAATCACCTCCGATCGGTTCAGCTGAGGAACCGGACTTTCGCTTGGACCAGGATGCCTTGTTCACTTGCGCCTTGCGAGTTGGTGACTTCGGCGACCAGGTCAGTCACCAGGTCAGAGCGTGTCTTACTGGTTACTGGTGAAGTCTTCGGCGTGATGGATTAGTTGCTGGTTATGGTTCTAGGCTATAGGATTGATTAGTAGGGTCAAACTTAAAAACATAGGAACGTGATCCTCTAAAATGTATCTGAAAGTCAGCGCGGGTCTCCACATTATGACGGGGCCAGGGGTGAAATCCCTGTCGACAGTCCTAACGACAGTTGCTGAAGAAGCGCATGAACCTATCTTCCGGCAAGATTCAAAGCCTAGCCACGCGCTAGCCACATGGAGAAGAAAGAGGCAGCTCGTAAGTCTTTGGCCTTCAACTCTCTATCTTTTGCTCATCCACATCTTTGGAAGACAGTGGAAACAAAAAAAAACTTACCCCCTTGCTGCCTCGCACACCCAAACTCTTCAGCAATGATCCTAATGACCTCATTCTACTGGACTTGGTCAAACAAGAAGAACTATATATATACTCAAGGCAGTTTAAGAACAAAACATGTTTTTTACATGTTTCTTTACTGGATCATCTAGGGCCAATCCTCTGGGCTTGTTGTCCAAGTTGGGGCCACCGGCATCGTGCAGAGGATCGAAGACCTGGACAGGGCGAGCCACGGGTCTACGGGATGAGGCGAGCCGCGGCTGTGACGTGGGGGGTTCAAGACCATGGACCTGCAAAGAGACATAAGACCAGTTGGGTCTATCTATCCTAATACCTGTAACAGTGGATGATGATGGGTAGGTTGAAGGCCTTGTTCAATAATAGTGTTCTTGTTTACTGACTGTTACAGGTAATAGGACAAACCCAAGCTATATGCAAAGGTCTCATGTTTCTTACTACATCTTACTACCACGGTCTGCATCGGTCCACGTCGATGTCATGCATCTTGGTAACGACCTGCGAGAGCCACCCCCCCTTCAGAGCAGGATGGGGAGTTTTAGCTGCGAGAGCCCTTGCACCAGAAAACAAACAGAAATGGGGGACCAAATAATACCGACTAAACTGATGGGGGGGCCAATAGTCATGGCTTTTGACTATATGCATCCTTTTTCATAGATCAAAAGCCACGACCAGATGGGGGAGACAAAAAGACGGAGGACGGTGCTGAAAGAAACGTGTTCTGGCATGAAGGACCGAAGGCTTGGTATCACAGCTGTGTTTCAGCCGATCTCCAGAGTTCCAAGTCCACACTCCAATATGCCGGATGTTGAGGAGCTTCTCAAGGGATATCCCGGATGTATTGTTTTTTCGGTATAATGGGAAAATATCGGACAGGAAGTCCTCCATGTCGGAAGGATCTTCGATTTATCTCACCTTCTTGCAAGATCCCTCCCTTTTTCAGAACTCTTCTGCTGTCCAACTCCGGCGCAAACCGCCCGGCCGTGTTCACCAGCATTCGCCCACACAAGCGCCACGCCAGTTGTCGACCTGGGAAAGTTGTCGAACTGCAAATGCCGTTCCTTTTTTCGGGGGGGCCTGGGAAGTTCGGGCCTGCGAAAAACATAACTAACAACACAAAACACAACAAAAAGCATTGGTGGGGGGTCGATCCTCCATTGGGAAGCCGAAGGAAAGCCGTGAAATCTGGAAGCCAGGAAATCTCAGATATATCGACGCAACATACGCGAAACAGCAAACGATGGACAAACATCTCCTGCTCCAACACAGCAGTATTTGTTCCATGGCTTTCTATCTGGTCTCCCTATCTTTGTCGATGGGATATGCATATGATATCCCTGAATCACTGATCCCTGGCTTTTGCTTCTCCCAATCACTGGCATGGCAGAAAATACCTGATAGAAAAGGAGACATGACACATCCAGATGGGGTGTAGGTAAAATATGGTAAAATCAGCTCCGGATGTTGGCAAAGAAATCCTCGTGTTTGATGCCAATCCATGATCTTGACAAGCATTTGGTTCATCCTGAGTCCAGGGTTAACCTCCCATTTCGGGAGGCAAGGCAACCTCCTCTCTCTTTGGGACTCTGGGTGGACTCGCTACGCGTCGAAGCTGGACAAACCTCAAGAATATTGTTCCAAGACATTCAAAAGAATGCCGAACTTGATAAGTGTGAGGTGCAATAAACTTCAAGATTACAGCTTGGCCAAGCTAAAAGTTGCTAGTTTAGAACTTGCCGGTGTACCAATGAGAACATCAAAAGGCGCATGCCCATTGTCAAAATCAGGTTCCCTCAAGCTAACCAGTGCAATCCAGAAACTGTGGCACAAACAATGTAAACATGATGCGACCCTAATATATTCCTTGCACATGTCTGTTTGACGTTTTCTGTTGTGTTGAAAGTTGTATGTTCTACAGGGTGTGTTCAACTTTGCATAACTAGGCATGTTACCTTTCTAGCTTGTGATGTTCTACATACAATTACTGTAAGTTGTGTTGATGTTCTAACAGTTTCTAACATGTGACACAATGTGCTCTTGTGTTTGTAAGTCTTCAAACTCTTAACTTAGAACAATAAATGTAAGAACAATAAATGTAACCCATCTAACTAAGTTTTGCCTCACCAATACTCAACATATCTCAAAATCTCACCCAAAAACTTGCAGGTGTTTCTTTTGGTGACATATGGCGCATGGCAAGCATCTATTCGATGGATCCCCGTGGGTCCCCGTTTGGGAGAAACGACGCATCGTTTCATCGACTCCATCAACGCAGAAACTGCAAAATCTCCGAGGACACTACAGGTTTGCCCAATGGGCTGCACGCAGGAGTAGTACCTGGGCTCCAACAAATCATCGGACGTCAAGTGGCTTGCCTGACCTTGATTCAGTTTGGATATGATTGATTCATTCAGTGGAGCATCCAATGGTTTGCCCAAGACAAAATGACCCAATTCAAGCAACGAAAGATCATTTCGATGTTTACAGTATTCCGTATTCTCAGTATTCTCTTAGATCTCATGGGCTTTCCGACTTGATGAACTTCACCGTCTTCACACCGAAAATCGGCTGAGTTGCAAAGCGACCAAACAGGCCCAGAGCATGTCAGGCACATCCGAAATCGTCTCTTCGACCTGCACCGGCAAAGAATGGGCCCAAATGGCAGGGCTTCGGTTGATGTGAACATCCATGAAGTATTTTGTTTCAAAGAATTTGTTGGTCTGAACACAATGCAACCAGCAATTTTCACCTGTGCAAGATTGTGCAAGTCTTCAAGTCTTTGTTTCTACACTCTATAGACCTGTCATGACCTGTTTGAGGGCCAAAACATCTACGCTTCCACCTACAAGTACTTATTGTCTCTTTCTTCTCGTATGGAATCTATTCCCAGAGTTTACCGCTCGCAGATTCCAGGGAAAGCGAACAGGACTTCCTCAACAGTCCTGGAGCATAGTATGCTTAATTCCCCAAGTGCATGGAAGGCAACAAAGCCCTACAAAGCCTTCTGGTTTCATCTCAGTACAACTCACTCGACCCCTTACTAAGCCTACAGTCCATTCCTTGCAGTTCAGAGTCCTCCAGCTTGGAAACAGACCGAGTCCAACGAGCCGATTTCAGATTCCGAGTGGCGCAAGGCGCAAGCACCACACATTCCAAAATGCCACATCCCATTGGTCCCATGGATGGGGCCATATTGGGGGACCCATACGGAGCCCATGACCCTCTACTATTCCTGATCCCAAAGACCTCTACAGCCTCTATGTTACATAGCCTTATTGATGGATCTATATAGGCCAGGGCCATATCTTCTACAAACCCTCACGGACGCAGTTTTTTTTCACGGCTGGGTCGCCCCGGCCGCATGCTTCACGGACAGCACCGCGCGGACGCGGTGACCAAAGCGCTGCTCATAGTTCTCCCAGAGCTGGCCGTGAGAAAAAACCGGCGACACGATGTCGGTCCAGGGTCATGGCCTCTGAAATGGTTCTTTTCAATGCTGTTCATCATGAAAAAGAGCTGTGGCACATGGCTTCGGGGCGCATTTTTGTGTGGTTTTGGTACTATCATAAACTTCTTCATAAGCTTTACAATGGTTTAGGGACAATGAATCAAAGTTTGAGAGATTCGTACGTAGTTGTTCAGTGCTTTGGGATCGCGTTAAGGACGATCCAGAACTCCTTCCTGTCGGTCAAGTATGACTGGGTAGGTCCTGAAAGAAGATTGGAGCTGGTTTGGAAAGCATGTCGAAACCACCCGACGATGTTCCACCAGGAGAACGTGTCTAATTCCATCCAGTCTGCAGGGAACCCTGCCACCCATCCTGTCACCGATCGAACTCGCGGGCCAAGACATGCCAAGGTAGCAAAGTCTTGAATGAAGGATGGTAGCAAGAGCCAAAGCAAATAGAAAGGAAAAAGGGCGATTCGGATGGCCAGCAAGACCACATAGCGTACTACCTTGGAGAGCCCAAACGATCCCGCGGCGTTCCAAGCACGGCTGTTGCCAGCGTATTCATTTGATGGACACATTTGACGTACCAAGCTACGCTTGTGACTTGATGCCAATTTCATGCCTCCACACACTCCCAATTCTTGGACCAGGGAATCAACTCTGTTTGGACGAAACCCGAGATCCACAAGCAGGTTTGCAAATGATTTTGAGACATGAAAGCAATGGATCTCAAACGCTGGTCGCACCCAAGCACCCAGACATCAATCTTCCAACCGTTTTCCCCTCCAACAGCATCTGAAACAAACACACCATCATGGAAATTCCGTGACCCGAGGTCCACGCAATGTAGACATCATTGAGGAGTTGGAAGAACAGCTTCACCTCCGCAATAAGAACAAATCGAACCACGACATAATGAAAAAAACACTTGTGGAGAACCCTTTGAGTGATGAACAAAACTTCTTGGTGCCCCCAATGTCAAATGTACTTTGGGTTGGCCCCAATCAGTTTTCAGTGTTTTGGGCCTGCTCTCTGAACTCCTTGTTCTTGCAAAGGTTTGGGTATCGGGCTGGTATCGCAATCATTTCTCATGTACTTAAGGCAGCCCCTTACTAAAGTGCATCTATTATAGAATGTTTTGGCACTTCAGAGCATTTGCAGCATATGCCTCTCCACTGCTTACCAGGCCACATCGCAAAGAAGAATTCAACGCGCGATGTTTCGATGCAGCGAAGCTACGAGTCTGGAAGTCACAAGAATTTGCCTTTGCCGCCCAAATCATCTGTTGAATAGAGCTTGTCCCCATGGAAGCCCCAATTACTATAGTAAGAACTTCTTTTGGGAGCGACAGCTCCGACATCATCCCATTCCGCGCCAGGCGGAAGGCGGCAAACACCACCAGCAATGCCAAGAGGATCGGAAGCAAACCTTGGGGCAAACCCGTCTCGGCCGAGAGGCGGTGTGGAAGAGTTTGCGCTGAGTGGATGGAAAGGATCTGGTTGGAAGGTCAAATGTTTCAACAAACAACATGGTCAGGAGGAGCAAATGAAATCCTTTGCATCCACCTGTTCAGGTATCAGCAATCAGTTGGCACAGCCATGGCATGCCCACACAAAATCCATCAAACAACCAGTTATCGTGAATGCGACATCTTAGATGACTGGACTTCCGAGCGGTTGGGGATTTCGCGCACATGTCCCATCGCTTTCATGCAGTAAACCATGAAACAGTCAAAAGGCTCACTGCTTTGAAACACAACAGAATCAAGACATGGTGAGCATGGCATGGTCGGCACTGGCCCTGGAAGGGAGCCCAAGACACCAAGACACAGAAGCGCCTGAGGCCCGAGGCATGACAAGAGAAGCGCCTGCAAGCGCTGCCTCGGTACATCATCGGAATGGCTAGCAAGGCATCGGCTCTGCCTCGTAGCTCAGGAAGTGTCCCGACTACACACAGACCGCATCAGTATCAGACTACTAAGAGTAGAGGGAAGAAAAAACATACTGACATTGAGTCTAAAAAGAGATGAGCTTCCTCATAGAAAGACTCCGTACAAGGGCAAAAAGAACAAAGAAAAGAAACGCGCTGGCTTCGAAACCAGCACCGTTCCACCGATCGAAACCAGCAGAAACGACCGACCTCCGCCGAGCGTGTTCGTTCCAAACCGTCGACGACCACCCTCCAGGGTCATCGCAAGGGTCGTCGCCACGACTCCTCCGGAAAGACCTGCCGGTCGCCGACGCAGACGGAGTCTGGCCGGTGGCGGATCCTAAGGACATGAGACGCTTCCGCCGTTCGGTGGCAGATTTGTGTGGATCTCATTCTACACCAAAAGACAGACCACAAAACAAACTGAACATCGAATTTCGTGCTCTAAATGGTATCGAACCGGTAAGAAGATTCATCAAGATCCACTGTTGATCGAAGTCAACACCAGAGTCAGCCGGATGGTGAGTCAACACTTTACCCCCATCATCGCAAAACAAAGAGATACGGAGAGTAATACCCTTCACCAAAACTCACATCGCAACACAACCCCCCAAAGAATGCTGGAGTCAAAGAGTTCCCTCAAAACCTATTGGATCCATAGGGGCCATGTTCGGTAAGAAAACAAAGGCCTCAACATCACTCAACAGCAACAAGGACGCTTCTAGGGGCTCCTGGCATCGCTCCTAGGAGCAAGGACGCTACTAGGGGTGCTCAGAACTGTTAGGAATCGCAAACTGATTCTTTGGATCAGCCACCAGTCAGAAAACACCGGTCCTCACCGATCCTTGAACAACAAATCCTCGATCGCACTACTTTCAGGCATTTGGATCCTTTGAGACGCAGGTTGGAACCTAATCTGCCGTTTGGTCCTAGCCGGCCAACCACATCCATCGGATGTCAAGATGCATCCAATGATCCAAGACGCATGTGTTGTCGTGTTCTTTTTTAATTGCCATATCATATCTTATGGCCCTCAAGAGTTACACAACTCGAATTCCGCCATCTTGAACAGTGCCATCCAAAAGAAAACATGTAGCACTTCCCCCTGACCCCCCGATTCCCGCGCGCGCGCGCGTGCAAGGGCGCTGGTACCGGCACCTGCGCAGCTCCCCGCGTGATCTCGGGCATCTCGTCGTCGTCCGAGTCGTTGCCCCTGGCGGACGCCGCGCGCGTCCGAAAGCAACGGGTGCAGATGTTTCGGGGCGCTGGGGGTATAGGCCGAAGACATCCGATGACCAAGACAGGAAATGGGGTGCCTGGGTAGGAGTCTAGGAGTCTAGAAGACACTGGGAAGGGTGACCTGCGGCGGAACTGGCATGAAACATCGGAGAGGAACCTCATTGTAGCTGTTGGGCAAACTGTCCCATCATCACCGACGGATACAGGAGGACACCTATATGTTACGTTTAGAAGCACTGAACATCTCCATGATTCGTGCAACAACTCTTACGTCTTGTCTCCTCAAGCATGGAGCTTGAAGACCAACGGACGGCCGAGCGTCAGGAGCCATTTCTGTGACCCTTACTAGCACCAGAGTCCAAGGATGTCCAAGGTCAAAATCGACTGGTTGGATCTGTGAAAAACAACCGGACTTATATAATTAAGTAGTGCAACTACATTCAGCGGCAAAAAAACCACCAGCCACGAAAGCTGTAATCGCGGCACCTTCTTTACAGTCTCTCGAAGGAGCAAGGTACAAACAAGCGTGTCGTTTTGAAGAAGGTCAACATAGGTCAACCGTGAAGCTCATCACCATGGAGTTGTAAGCTTCTCTCTGTGAAAATCCCAAGCTGGGGCCGCAGCTCATTGGACACCGAGGAGACCTGAAACCCAAAAAGCCAACTCTACAGTCATCCTCAAGTGTGGAGACAACAGCAAACAGCCAACAGCGGGAAGAAGGTCCAAACGTTCTACTGTATAGTCTAGTAGGAAGACGATACTTCAAAAACAACTACGGCCATATAAAGCAATATACACACCTCAGAATACTTACGAGTCTTATGGTTCATTCTGCAATCATGGGAATTCTTGTGATTGTGAAAGGAAACCGCACTCTTCAACCAAGTCGCAGATCTGATGTCTTCTTCACCATCTTCTTGCTTTCTGTCGTTCTCCTGAGGCTGAACATGACCACGGAACCAGTTGGGGTTGGAAGCAAAACCAAAGGAATTACATCGCCTTGTCCATTGAGGTCCCACCGATGTTTGTCCATGACTCCAAACCACTTGCTGGCATGCAGCAGCTGCAGCCCATCCCTGGAAAGCCCGCGCTGCTCTCCCGGTCCCTTTGGCCCCCCCCCAAAACCTCTGCCTCTCCGTCCAGTTCGTCGTCGGTGCGTTCTTCGGATTCGCCATCCTCTTCAAAGGACAGGGCGCATCCCCTGAGGTTCTATTGAGGTGGAACAAATGATGCTTAAGAAGAAAACGTGTGACACAGAGGCCTAAGACCTCCAGCGCGTGAGAGCCAATAGGTAGGGTATTACAAGAGAAACTCTTGGAGTTTCTTATATGTAAATATAGTCTAGTCCTATATCAACAACCAATTCCGTTCAACCGAGTTAAATGCAGTGAATGAAGCTACAAGGCTCTGTTGTTCTGTTCACGACGAGCGGTTGCATCTTAGCTGGTCCGTTCCCAGTGGCATCCTCCAACCATCCACGCGAACGAACAGCCGTATTAGTATATGTTTTAAATCAATATAGAGGCAAGTCAGTCCTCCTAAAATTCAACCTCCTTCATTCATCAAAGCGGCATAGTGTAGCAATATCAACAGGAGCAAACGCTGCCTTGAGATCATGTTGGTGAATATCATCTGAGGAAAAAAGCCACAACTTAAAGCAGCATACAGAAAATAATGCAACTAGTTGTGACAACTAGACTCCAAGAAGTGTTCAGAAGTACAACTCCTTCCTGCTGTTTTGATCCAAAAGCGCCACTGACCGTCACTGGCCGTCTTGGACCGTCCTCCCCCTCTGACTTGACCTCTTCCGACAGGCCGAAATCCTGGCGACCAGGTCGATCGAACACACCTCTTGGCCAAGGTCGATCGAAATACCATGGTATGTGTATTTAACTATAATCATGGCCATGTCATAAAGTCAACGACGAAACACATGCCATGAAGTTCTATCCCTCCAAACATGAGCTCTGAATCATCCACATAACACTCATCTCGGTAGGATGCTTGGAGCCACACCTCGAACAATGCCTATGTTCAGATCCGAAAATAAACATCTCAACAGGAGAAACGTGGACTCAGCGCCCAAACGAATGGTCACTCCGATGCGGTCCAGACGAAGGATCGGAGTTTCGATGAAGCGATCGAGTGATACGGAAGCGTTTCATCCCAAGTTTACATGGAGCGTCTTTCTTCGCTCGCTCCCAAAAACTGGCCATCCAAATGGGCTCTCCAAAGTCATGCAGATAGAAAGGCGCCTGCCAACCTGTCGATCGCGACCCGGTCCCAGCAACCTGTCGATCGCGACCGCCCAGCTTGGCCGAAGAAAATAGTGGGCAGACCATTCCATGAAGAAGCCGAATGTAGACTCTTGAGAAAAATAGCACCCCATATGAAGAGGCATGTTTAATCTCAATGTGGGGGAGTTATTCATCAAGAGACTACATCAGAGGCTCTTTGACCAAAACAAGGGTCTTGGTCTGAGACCTTCCTGATCCCCGTCACCCAAGCGGGGAGACCTTTCTCGCGCATCGGATGGTCCTCTAGGCCATATTCCTCGTCCAGCTCCATGGAATAGCAGAGATGGGCAAAAGAAACCCGCACAGAGACGGGTTAAGCTGTGGAAAGCTGTGAAAGATTGTAGGATGTAGGTTTTTTGCATCAAAAGTTGAGTGGAAGCGCTTGATGTCACTGCAGTTGACGGTGGACACGCCAACGGTAACGCTTGGAAGACACATTGCAAGACACCAACCTGTCGTTGTTTCTTCCGGTCAATCACCCGGAACGGAGGCCCCCAAATGCGCGGCCCGAAGGGCCCTTCGTCGAAAACGGGCGACCACAAACGCCTATTGAGTGGGATCTCCTTTCGGGCATTACTAGTAGCGATGCCCTTTGTGACTAGTAGCTTCCTGTTCCTCGTAGTAATGCCAGGAGCTACTAGTAGCTTCTAGCTACTCTAGTAGCGATGCCCTTTGTTAGTCCGGAAAGTCCAACCCCTAGGACCAAACCCCCCCTGTAGGACAAGGCACAAAGGTAGCATGCCCTAGCCAATTTTGATTTTGAAAGCACGGAGCGAAGTGATTGCACCTGTGTTTGAGCTGCAGTGGCTTTGGTCCAGGTAAATCCACTGTCCTGCTCCACTGTCCTGCTACATGTTTTGACCCAAATATACAGTACAAGGCCAACTGATGCACACTGCCAGCATTCTGCCAATTTGGGGCGAAAAAAGATAAAGGCAGCCACCACGCGAAACGCTCCACGGAGGCAAATGTTCATGATCATTTGGGGTAATTGAAGGGAGCAAAAATCCTATAAACTAATGCCTTGGCCTTTCAGCACTTCCAAAACCAGCATAGTGCATCGCTACTAGGAACAAGTGCCTTACTAGTAGTAACAAGAAGCTATTAGAAACAAGTGCATCGCTACTAGGAACAAGTGCCTTTCAGCACTTCCAAAACCATAGGTTTACTCACTTCCTCAAACCATTCTATCCTCGAAAGACTCCAATGCTTTGCAGGCTCGCACCTTCAGTGGGCATCTCTTATTTGCGACGGACCCCAGATTCACAGCAATCCAAAATTAGTACTCTACTGATGAACGAAAGGCCTTGCAGATCGAAGACCAGCCCATCCACGTGCGCGATTTAGAAGTATACCCCCCCCCCAATCACTGAGTGAGAAGTATACCCAATGGTCCCATCAACATCAGATGTTGTTCCCCCTAAGGTCCATCAAACTTTGAACCACCCCTGAAGATTCTCGTACGCCGCTTTTCTGCACTGTCACTCCGCACCCCGGGCGGAGAGACGTCACACGAACGACAGTGGTCCGGGAGATCGACGCGTCGCGTCGTCGCGTCATGCAAGGTGAGGTTAGATGAGAAGGCATCATGAAACTGTGGGACCTCATCTAACAAGGTGAGGTTTTACTAACTAACGGAAACTGCAAGGTGAGGTTAGATCACAAGTTTAGTAAAACTTGGGTCAACAAAAAGAGTTCCCGTTCGCCCGATGTGAAAACTAAAATTGTCCCTGTGCTGGAGAGTTCAACAAACCTCAAGTGGGCATGCCGAGAAGCCCTGTTAATTGAAGCTACGAATAGAATACGAAGCCAGGTTGGAAAGCTCCTTTAAGAAAATTAAAACCAGTTCGCAAAAACATAAGAGTTACAAACACACGCCAGTCATTGGTATAGTGACAAATCTATCGTTTCTCCGAAGGCCACTCCTTTCCAACCAGAAACGATCAGCTCGTTGAAAATCTCAAAATCGGAGGCCACCAAATACAGAAAGCTCCAGTGGCCAACTGCCATTGAGATACAGTCAGCCCGGCGAAAAAAATGATGGTTCTTCAGCCATGATTATACATGAATGGCATCATGCATGATGTTGCTCCTGTCCTGGATTTCCTGGCATTTCGAAGTGACGTGATTAAAACAATGTCCATTGAGCTTGTGACCGTCTGTGTTGGTGAACAGGGCCGTCTGAATGTCCATCACATGAGAATCTCATCCGTCATGCGGAAGGAGTGATTCACTGGCTCGATTCAGGCCTTGGGTATCTCAATGAAAAGCTTGAGAGATCAAATCAGCAGCATGCCCAGCATCTTTACCTTAGGAAGAAGCAAGGTAGAAGTGAACATCAAAACGGTACAGCTCTGACCTGACAGGGCAGGGCTAAGAGACGTTTAAAAAAGACTGGCTCTGGCTCTTTCCTCCAGCGTCGGAACATTGGCAGGGTCGCACGAAACCAACGTGGGGTGGTGCCGGGTGCTTGGGAAGAAAGGAAGACGGCGAAATGGGTTCTGGCAGCTTTTGGTCTTGTCGACCACTTAGTTGAGCAAGGGGCTCGCAGAGGTCACCCAGAAAGAAGGCAGTTGACAGACACGTGGGACATGTCTGTTGAACACTAGGTCAATGCCAGTCAAGTGAGTCCCTTGATGGCTGTACCACGTTGTAACCATCTACACAGCAGGCACACACCAAACTCACAAGAACGGGTTCAGATCAGAAACAGCAAGAAGTGGCGCGGCGGGAGGCTTGAAGAACTAGCCACTATAGCCCCTAGCCTGGGATGTCGCAATCCCTCTTGGGCGTGCTGCAAAGGATTTATAAACTTAGTCTGGGGTGTCTGGGGTAGAGAGCTCCTCATTTGCAGTCAGGTTCACGTCGGACTTCAAAGCAAACGGGTTTGTGTATGAATGGTCCGCTCAGAACCGAACCCAATCCCTTTCATCGGATGACTGTATCAACTGGCGGGAATCAAGAACCTGTTCACTGACCCGTCTAAACCCCGATGCCCGCAGGTTCACATAAACCGAAATCATAAATTGATATAGATTGGAGGTTTGACATTGTTTTGACTAGTGACTAGTCAAACACTGACTGGTTCTCTTGGGGTTGGTTGCGCCAATCGCTCGGCCGATCGTGTTCGTCCAACCCCAAGCATCTGGCCCTCCAGAGATTTCCCCCCAATCTCCTGCATTTCCCATCACTTATTAAGGAGATCATTCTCTTGTGGGCCGGGAGGTAAAGGAATTCAATGGACTATTGCCTTATATATGCTTATATGACATGTTGATGGCATTGATGGTCATTTTACAACAAGACTGCTGAAATTCAAAGGAGAATGCATTTACCTTAGAGCCACTGGCCACCAGCACAAATTCAAGTGCCACAGGCAAAGCCCTTCTGGTCAGAAGTCCACAAGCAAATCGGTCGCTCTCCACCATTTGCTTCAACTTTTGGTTTGTCACGGTTGAACGGCTCGCTGGACCAGTCGCTCTGCCCAGGTCGCTCGGCTTGCTTGCGCCAGCCCCGAGTTCGGACGGCAAATCCAGTCGAATCGAGCTCGTTGGTTGACCACGTCTCGTAGTCCATTTTCTTTACTTGTGGTCCACCAAGGTCCCCATGGCCACACCCGTAGATGGGAGGAGGATGAGTTTTGCTCGAGATTCATTCGTCACACCGTATATCGCACCATCACAATATAGGGGGAGTCCATGAGTCTCGGGTTGTGTGATCGATCTTCTAAACCCACAGCACAGTCGTGGTGGTGATCATTGAACCCTCCGGGTCACCGCACATGGCGTCTGTGGGGCCAAAGCAGCATCCTGACCAGCGACAGTGCTCGCAAGACCACCATTGCTTGCGCTTGCATGCACTACTAAACATCAATTAGTTTAAGTGCTGAGTGCTGTTTGTGCACCTGGCAATTTTGGTAAGCTCCACCTGGAACTAAAATGGGAGCATGTTGAGGCTGCAAGGCTTACCATTTTGCACCTCTTCCTTCACCTTGCACCGGATATCCAATATCTTTTATTGGTGTTCTCGTCGTCGTCGTCCTTTCCCGTGCCGCGCTTGGCGCGCTGTGAGACTCGTGTGCCGACGCGGACGCCTCCTTTTTATCCGTCGACGTGGCAGAGGTACTTGCGCTGAGACTCCTCCCCACGCGCGCGGGCGCCCGAAGTAAGGACTGCGCTCGTTCGTCGCCCCCCTGGGGAGATCCCCTGAGGGGGGAATTGGGGAATCGCCTTTAGGAGACCTCTACCTTACTTCAAAACGACATCGCCGGGAAAGTTGCTTATGTCACCAGACCATCATTGTAAAATTAGAAATCAAGTAGGGCAAAACATACTCATGTATATATTATATATTTTAAAAAAGAGAACATTTAGAAACATATAGACACGATATAATATCATAGTGTTTCTATTGCTTTTAAATATGTTGATACAATTTGATACATGTTTTTTCCCACTCGATGTCAATTTTACAATGATGGTATAGTGACTTGAGTACAATTCTTTAGTCACTACCAGTACCATATTAGTCTACGAAAATGCCAAAATACCTGGGTCGCACAGCCCCTCGGCAGGGCATGGGCGACATCAGGTCATGCGGTCGAACTCCTTTTGGTCCTGATGAGCAGTCACGGAAGTCCATCGTTGAGACCCCAAGAGGAATAAGAATGTGATATTCATTGGGATTCTAACTGGTGTATTGGCAAATCTGCTCACAGTACGCACACTGTTCAACTGTTCTTCTCTTAATTGCGAGCTTTGATCATGGCATTTGTCTCACGTCTGTGGCCTCGGAAAATCCTCAAACAGCCGCAGTTACGTATCTATATATAGCCACCAACTAGAGCCAACCCATCAACCCGTCAATGAGTAGCAAGGCATCCATCCTTTTCAAGATACACAAGTATAGGACCAAAACCACTGGCGACTAGTGAGTGCCCCTCTTCCCCTTTCCATCCCTTTCCGTAAGTTCCGTGCCTGGGCAAGCCAGATCGCTCACTGCACGGCAGGGCTGAGTCAGCAACCCTTCGGATAGACTGAATTCACTGAGAAGAACCATGTCTAGGAGAAAAAAACGACAACGCCGAGCCCAAAATGGGCCACTTTCATCCATTTTCTGTGAGAGTCTTGTGAGCCGTGTCTCTGACAATGCGTGTGGCGCAGCATGCCTGGGCCCCCTGAAAATGGAGACCATGTTCGTCCAGAACCCGAACAATGCAATGAGGTGCGAGTAAGAATAGGATAGGAGGTTCGGGAGAGGGTGTTCATCCTGCAGACTCCCCCCAAGCATGCCTAAAGAAGCCTCAATGCCTCAAACACGATTCCGGGTCGAATTTGTCAAAGCTCATTGGAACTCGAAGGGATATATAATTCTATGTTGGACTTGTCTTTTCAACGTGGATGATGCTTAGTAAGGGGCTGCCTACACATAACCGCGATGAATGGCACATGCAACTCATCAGCACGCAAAATCACCCAGTTTGGGCCGTCTGCGCCCAGAACGCCGCCACCCAACCAGAGGACCAAACGGCGCGCGCCGCCGACGCTGACGCGCAAAGACCAATGGGCCACCTCGGACAAAAGTCCTCTACCTCGCCAAAGGACACAGCTGATGATGTGCCAAAAGCATGTGATACAACTAATGTAGAATGTGGTTGATCAAACCCCCACATAGGGAGATGTAGAGCTATTCTGGTAGGACAAGTGATGGTCATTGACGGTCCATGTTCAGGTCTTCTGCTAGTGTTTGCGTGTCTTGAATATAGTTGAATATCAAAGAGTCAGAAATTCCAGTTTGGCATCTGTGCTCTGCAAAGAGGGCATGGCTTACAGCTTGCATGGCACAAAACGAACCTATGCCAAAGGGATGGCACATGTTTTGTCGGCAACACAAAGGTCTATGGAGAACGAAGTCGCTCAGAAATCAACACAGTCTTCCGTGTCCAAACAGGCATCTCCGAACCGAGCCAAAAGGGACTCACAGATTGGGGTCTCGGGGTCCCTTTCTTTCCAAAAGAACTCAACTGAACATCAATGTCTGTTTGGACAGGGTCATTTTGCCTGCTATATAGGGATCTCAAAATATCCAAATCCACCACTCAATTCTTAATCCTGATAGCTGGTATAATAGAACATGTACCAGGACCTGCAAGGGGTGGTTCATCAAAAGCCCAGACCGCCTCAAAAATCGGTCAACCTGGACTTGGTCCGTGTGGATCTCTTCCATATTTGGTGCCAACATGACCTATCTTCGTGCTTTATACGCTTTATAAACCACGTGGACTCCCCTCATTCATATACATTGTTGACACTGCGCAAGCCAGAGAATGTATCTCTTCCGTGGCGGCTGCCGTTTTTCTCTGTGCTTAGGGTGGAGGTCATTGCTAGTAGGGTGGAGGCCATGACTAGTAGGGTGGAGGCCATGACTAGTAGGGTGTTGGCCATTGCTAGTAGGTGGGAGGTCATCGCTAGCCGGGTGGAGACCATCGCTAGTAGGTTGGAGGTCATTGCTCGTAGGGTGGAGGCCATCGCTAGTAGGGTGGAGGCCATGGCTAGTAGGTTGGAGGTCATCGCTAGTAGGGTGGAGGCCATCGCTAGTAGGGTGAAGGCTATCGCTAGTAGGGTGGAGGCCATCGCTAGTAGGGTGGAGGCCATCGCTATTAAGGTTGGAGGCCATCGCTAGTAGGTTGAAGGTCATTGCTAGTAGGGTGGAGGCCATGACTAGTAGGGTGGAGGCCATCGCTATTAGGTTGGAGGTCATCGATAGTAGGTTGGAGGCCATCGCTAGTAGGGTGGAGGCCATCGCTAGTAGGGTAGGGTGAAGGCTATCGCTAGTAGGGTGAGGGCCATCGCTAGTAGGGTGGAGGCCATCGCTAGTAGGGTGGAGGCCATCGCTAGTAGGGTGAAGGCTATCGCTAGTAGGGTGGAGGATCATCGCTAGTAGGTTGGAGGCCATCGCTAGTAGGTTGAAGGTCATTGCTAGTAGGGTGGAGGCCATGACTAGTAGGGTGGAGGCCATCGCTAGTATAGGTTGGAGGCCATCGCTAGTAGGGTGAAGGCTATCGCTAGTAGGGTGGAGGCCATCGCTAGTAGGGTGGAGGCCATGACTAGTAGGGTGGAGGCCATTGCTAGTAGGTTGGAGGTCATCGCTAGTAGGGTGGGGGCCATCGCTAGTAGGTTGGAGGTCATCGCTAGTAGGGTGGAGGCCATCGCTATTAAGGTTGGAGGCCATCGCTAGTAGGTTGAAGGTCATTATCATTGCTAGTAGGGTGGAGGCCATCGCTAGTAGGGTGGAGGCCATCGCTAGTAGGTTGGAGGTCATCGCTAGTAGGGTGGGGGCCATCGCTAGTAGGTTGAAGGTCATTGCTAGTAGGGTGGAGGCCA